TCCATCAGAGATCAGACAGACTCAGAGATCAGACAGACTCAGAAATCAGACAGACTCAGATATCAGACAGAGATCAGATTGTTCAGACTCAGAGATCAGACAGAGATTGGTCAGACTCAGAGATCAGACAGAGATCAGGCAGACTCAGAGATCAGAAAGAGATCAGACAGACTCAGAGATCAGACAGACTCAAAGATCAGACAGAATCAGAGATCAGAAAGACTCAGAGATCAGTCAGAGATCGGTGAGACTCAGAGATCAGTCAGAGATCTGACAGGCTCAGAGATCAGACAGAGATCAGACAGACTCAGAGATCAGACAGAGATTGTTCAGACTCAGAGATCAGTCAGAGATCAGGCAGACTCAGAGATCAGACAGAGATTGGTCAGACTCAGAGATCAGGCAGACTCAGAGATCAGACAGAGATTGTTCAGACTCAGAGATCAGTCAGAGATCAGGCAGACTCAGAGATCAGAAAGAGATCAGACTGAGTCAGAGATCAGAAAGAATCAGAGATCAGACAGAGATCAGACAGACTCAGAGATCAGACAGAGATTGGTCAGACTCAGAGATCGGTCAGACTCAGAGATCAGACAGAGATTGTTCAGACTCAGAGATCAGTCAGAGATCAGGCAGACTCAGAGATCAGAAAGAGATCAGACAGACTCAGAGATCAGACAGACTCAAAGATCAGACAGACTCAGAGATCAGAAAGACTCAGAGATCAGTCAGAGATCGGTGAGACTCAGAGATCAGTCAGAGATCAGACAGGCTCAGAGATCAGACAGAGATTGGTCAGACTCAGAGATCAGGCAGACTCAGAGATCAGACAGAGATTGGTCAGACTCAGAGATCAGTCAGAGATCAGGCAGACTCAGAGATCAGAAAGAGATCAGACAGACTCAGAGATCAGACAGACTCAAAGATCAGACAGACTCAGAGATCAGAAAGACTCAGAGATCAGTCAGAGATCGGTGAGACTCAGAGATCAGTCAGAGATCAGACAGGCTCAGAGATCAGACAGAGATTGGTCAGACTCAGAGATCAGGCAGACTCAGAGATCAGACAGAGATTGGTCAGACTCAGAGATCAGTCAGAGATCAGGCAGACTCATAGATCAGACAGACTCAGAGATCAGAAAGACTCAGAGATCAGACAGAGATCGGTGAGACTCAGAGATCAGTCAGAGATCAGACAGACTCAGAGATCAGTCAGACTCAGAGATCGGTCAGACTCAGAGATCGGTCAGACTCAGAGATCAGTCAGAGATCAGACAGGCTCAGAGGTCAGACAGACTCTGGGATCAGAGATCAGACAGATTCAGAGGTAAGTTAGACTCAAGAAATCATTCAGGCTCTGAAATCAGACAGACTCTGGCATCAGACTCAGAGATCGGACAGGCTCAGTGATTGGTCAGAGATCAGTCAGACTCAGAGATCAGTCAAAGTTCAGTAAGGCTCAGAAATCGGTCAGCGATCAGTCAGACTCAGAGATCAGTCAGACTCAGATCAGTCAGAGATCAGTAAGGCTCAGAGATCGGACAGACTCTGGGATCAGAGATCAGACAGACTCAGAAATTAGTCAGAGATCGGTCAGACTCAGAGATTCAGCACTTGAGTCTATACTGGCAGCACTCCAGTCAGAGCTGATGATCATTTACCCTTCTTCTGTCTTCTTCACCTGTGTGTGTGTTAGCATACCTTTAACCAGTGTTTCTCAGCCACGTTCCTGGAGGAGCACCAGCACTGCATGTTTTGAACGTCTCCTCTGTCGAACCCTTTACAGGTCTTTCAGTGTCTGCTGATGAGCTGAATCAGGTGTGTTTGGTGAAGGAGACATGGTGACTGAGCAGAGCTGGTGCTCCTCCAGGAGCCCTGCCTTAAACCATAGTCCATCACACTCTTGAGCAGCTGTGTGTCAGTTAAACACTTAGCAAGTCTGGTTTCCATGTTTGAGGATAGATATTACTGACCATGATTATTGATTATTGATGACCAGAATGAGTGTTTTCTAATGTCCAGACCTTCCTAAATGATCCTGCAGGTGTACCGGACCAATCAGTGCGCAGGAGAGTTCGTCATCACCTTCCCCAGAGCCTATCACAGCGGCTTCAACCAGGGCTACAACTTCGCTGAGGCCGTCAACTTCTGCACCGCCGACTGGGTACATCTGTGTGTGTGTGTGTGTGTATATGTTTGTGTGTGTGTGTGTGTGTGTGTGTGTTTGTAATGATGATCTTGATTTTGTGTGTGCAGCTTCCCATCGGCAGGCAGTGTGTGTCGCACTACCGGCGTCTGCAGCGCTACTGTGTGTTCTCGCATGAGGAGCTGGTGTGTAAGATGGCGGCGGACCCCGAGGGTCTGGATGTGGAGCTGGCGGCGGCCGCGGTGCGGGAGCTGGAGGAGCTGCTGGAGGAGGAGACGCGGCTGAGGAGCGCCCTGGAGGAGACGGTCAGGGGAACACACACACACACACACAGATACGCAGACACAAACAGTTTGTAACTCCTCCTCCTGTCCAGCAGGGGGTGATCTCCTCAGTGCAGGAGGTGTTCGAGCTGCTGCCGGATGACGAGCGTCAGTGCTGGAGCTGTAAGACCACCTGTTTCCTGTCGGCAGTGACCTGCAGCTGCAGCCCGGAGCGGCTGGTGTGTCTGCGTCACGTGGGGGAGCTGTGCAGCTGCCCGCCCGCCAACAAGTGCCTGCGGTACACACCCCAAACCATCACTACTGTACCCCTGTGTGCAGAAACACACATGCTGACCCGTGTGTGTGTGTGTGTGTGTGTGTTCAGCTTCAGGTACGCTCAGGAGGAGTTCCCCGCCATGCTGTATGGGGTGAAGACTCGTGCTCAGTCCTATGACACCTGGTCCCGCAGGGTGACGGAGGCGCTAGCGGCAGACAGCAGGAACAAGAGAGGTCAGCCTGGTGCTAATGCTGTATGCTGCTGTCCTGTACACTTCTGTGCTGAACACTGTACGCTGTGCTCTGTGTTTTGGGCAGATGTGATCGAGCTGAAAGTGCTGCTGGAGGACGCGGAGGACCGCAGGTACCCAGAGAACAGCCTCCTGCGCAGCCTCAGGGACACACTGAAGGAGGCAGAGACCTGCTCCTCTGTAGCACAGCTGCTGCTCACACACACACACCGACACAGGTCAGACTCAACACACACACACACACACTGTGCGCTAGACTGCTGATGTGTGACATGATGACATCATGAGGCATTGAGCTCTAGTGTGTGTGTGTGTGTGTGTGTGTTTCAGAAGGGAGCGTGCGGATAGCGGCACACAGAAGCCGCGCAGTAAGCTGACGGTGGAGGAGCTGAAGGTGTTCGTGGAGCAGCTCTATAGACTGCCCTGCGTCATCAGCCAGGCCCGACAGGTCAAGGTGAGGGCTTAA